TCCCTCTCTCTTTTCTCTCTCTCTACCTTTCTCTTATCACGGGGGAGGAAGAAGGTTTATGTGGGCCTTTCATTCTGTCTCACAGTGAGAGATGGCTGCAGTGTATTGTGGGTAACAGAATCCAGCTGTGTTGTAGACTTTGTGTGTGTGTGTGTCTGCTGGTGCGAACATGTGCAGGAATGTACGTGTGTTCATGGCTGTGCGCTGTGCCTCTCTGCAGGTCTCGGGTGCGTGTTGACCTGTTTCGTGTCATTTTGACAGCACTGATTCTCTTTCATATCATGCAGCCTTATCTACGCTCAAACAAATAGCTGAGGATATACTGTGTGCTGTGAAGTCTTAACAGCAAAATACTCTGTCACATTTAATTATCAATTCATGAAGAAGCAACAAGAACTGGTTTTGCAACTCCGAGTTATGTGAATGTAGTGTAATGCAGGAGGAAAGTGCACCCTATGTTTTGACTACTATGGTTAATATGGTGCGTGGCGGATTCTTGGCTTCTTGATGTAGGTACCCGGTCAATATCAAACAAAGGAAGAGGTCCAAGATGTTAAAAAAGAGATAAGTACTTAAAATAGACATGCACAGATTGAGCAGTAATTTATTTTTTACTTCATCTCTTCCTGCAGCCTTGTTTCCCTCCCACTAATCCTGTCATTCCTTTGAAAAGCCAAGCCAATTTCAAAATAGAGGAGGTGTAGCTTATATGAAGCAGCTGTGATTAAAGTAATATAAATGTTTTTTTTTACTTTAGTATGTTTTCCTACAAGTTAATTTCTGCAAATTTGTCACTGGATGCTTATCTAAAGAGCTTTAGACTTCCAACTTTGTTATTTATTTAAACATTTTTTTAACAGTCTATAAGTAGGGATGCACCAATACAGCGCTAATTATCATAATTGTCATCATAAAACTACTCTGATACCACTTTACGGCTGCATGTGAAAGACTAAACTTTCTCTAAAAAGTCCAGAAAATAAAACTTAAATCATGCAATATGCTATAAGTTTGTTAGTTAATTAGTCCACTATGAGGAAAATTTGCTTCATTACATATAATTAAAAAAAAGCGTGGAAGGAAAACTTTTGTCTTTTGTCAGAGGTCAGGTTCAGCTACAGAGCGGTAGTCCTGAAGCATGGAGGAATTCAGTTTCTTTGGGATGCTTCAGCAGGGCGGATGCTTGCTGTCATAGAGGTTTGAATCCTTATCCTCTGTGGTTGAAGGTGTTTCTGCCTCACCACCCAGCAGTATGTAGCACACAGCTCTGTGTTTCTCTGATTTAGAGGGTTTACCTCCAGTGCAAGTCCTGACACAGGCTTTTTGAAACAGCAAAGCCACAAGACCACATATACACTGATTACTTGGGATTTGAAATTGCAGGCAAGTGTTTTATGAGACAATATATCCAGAGTTGTGCAAAGGGCTGAACCTGTTATGTTCATCTTTTTTTATGATATGCAAACTGTAAGAACTGTAAGAATCAAAAGCAATGCCTTCTAAAAAAATCCTTTCTAGACTCTGAAACACAATTATTCTTTCATTCATATTCCATTCATTCCTCTCTCTTTCTCTGTCATCAAATTATTCACTTAGCCAATGTGCCAGCAGCAGCACCCTTAAAGGAATGACAAACAGCTCTTATTATAACTCTGTTACTGTTCTGTAAACATTAAGTGACTGCACACAACGACAGATCCTGGAGCAGAGCGTGTCTTTAAGCTTTGACGTGTACCTCAAACAAAAACAGTTAATGCCTTGTCATAGCAGTAATACTTTGTCGTCATTGGAGCATGCTGTCGGACTGCAGACAGCTTCATTTTGTGTGTGTATGCCTCAAGTTGTGCATTGTTGTTTGCATTAGCTTTATGCCGTATAGTGAGTATCATGCTGGTGATAACAGCTCTTTCTTTGTGATTGATGTGACAGTGGTTTGGTGACTTTACATGATGCCAGACATTTTTTTACATTAGCTGCTTTGCCATTTCCTCTTATTTTCTCACAGAATAAAAGCAACGCTGTCATATTGGCATTAACACTTGAAGATGATGACATTCGAGAACATGTGAGAGCAAATGTTTTATTACACAGTATCTGTTTCTGGAAATTATATATTTAAAGTCCTCATTCAAAATATATTCTACTTATTGTATCGTCACTTGGATTCAGATCTGATTTCATTCAGTGGAAAGTTAGCCTGAGGACAACTTTAAAGCGCTTAATGTTTGAGTTTTATAACTCCTTGGATTTATAAATTGTGAAAACTTTATTTTACATATTAAAAAAATACTATTTCAGTGTAGGACATGCCCATTCATACCTAAAAAGATTTTCCCTCCATTTTCAAGTTTTGGCCTAGACAGAAAGACATTGTACCAACAAGTAGCAACGGAAACCAAATTGTAATTGGAAACTGATTTATAAAACGTAACAGACATTAGTCTGTGGTTTACAACAAGACAAGACAGATTGAGAGAGATTTGTTCTACACACTCGTAACTCATTGTGTTCCACCTCATTGTTTTGCCTTTTTGCCACCCATTCGTTAGTATGCTGTAGTTATTTTCTATGAAACAAAGAAAAGCATTAGAACCATGCAGAGAACTAGTATTCAGAAAACAACCAATTAAGCATGGCTTTTTGGCTTATTGTTTAGACTGATTTAAAGGTTTGATCTTTCTGAAGTGTATATGCCACTGAAGCCCCACCACAAGATTGTCTGCTTTGGCAGCTTCTGGTTTATATTAGCTGCTCTTGAAGTCCCAAAAGTTCCTCTGAAATACCAGTCATCTTTCTTTCAATAGACCGTTCTTTACTTATTCTTTTCTTTCCCTCTCCCCCCATTTCTGTCCAAGTCTTTCCTTTTCCTTTTCCTCTTTGTACTTAATAAAGACTGATTTTGAGGGAAGATTGTAAATTCCTGCCAAGCGAGCCAGGCTCTGACCTTGTATGTTATGAGGAGAGAGGGGGATAAATAGAGGAGACAGAGGGCAGAAAGAGAATGGAGGCGGGGGGCCGGAGGTACGCTCCTGAATTTAATAAAACATCTTAGGTTTCTCCTCAACTTCCACCTCAGGAGTCTTGGAAAGGGCAGAAGTGCAAGAGTTTACTTACACAAACCAAGTCAGAGGGAACAGGGAAGAAGAGATGAGAGGAAATAGGGATGGAAAATGGGTGATTCACAGATATGTACTTCTTAAGTTCAGTGCATATTAGACATTTGTATACCCTTTTTTACTCCATGGTAGAGCTGGAAGTGTGTTTGAAAAGTGTTTGAAAATGCTGCTATTCTATGTTATTTTATATTTTTATATATTCATGTGTGTCCAAATGAAATGTCTAAGTCTTCTGAATTAATTTTGTTTTTATCTTTTTCACCTTGAGTTGAACTCTCTTTGACTGCTGCCAGGGTCTCTCTCAAGTTTCAGTCTTTGTGACTCTTGGACTGTGTCACACTATAATAACCTGTCCAGAATAAGCCTGATGAAATCAAATGAGTTGGAATAAAAGTATTTTGGGCTCCAACTGGTCTGGAGTTACGGTCACAGTCTCCAGACTTGATCCTCTGATTACTAAATCATTTGTGCTGACCACACAGCAATGTTTGCACTTATGCCTATATAACTTGAACATCCGATCCCATTCTACCTGTGGCTACATCTTAAATATAAAACAACCTTAAGTTCATCCAGTTCAAAAGTGATTTTTGTGGTAGTCCAAGTGAAGAAGAGTTGCACTGCAGTAAAACATAAACCAAATGGTAAAATGTACAATACTTTAATATTGTATTTCAAGACAAGGGGAAGAAAAGAAAGGGATACATACTTTGATTGTTTATCTTCTTGCACTGTGAATAGAATCACAACATTTATTACACAATGGAGGCAATACACCCTCTATACTCCCCAATGCACCATCCAGCCACTGCATGGCAATTCATAATGAGGTGCTGACTAACTGACTCTAGGTTCAAAAGGAAGATTTATGGTTTTTAGCACTAACATTTACTCACACATGCACACATTAATTGTCTGATTTTTTTAAGATGTCACTGCAAGTCACCCAACCTTATTATCCCTCTCTCAGTACCTTTTGCCCCTCAGTTTCCTGCATTCCTGTGTGTGGTGCCCGTGTTTTTGGTAACATGATTCGGCAAATATGTCAAGAGATGTGATTGAGTGTACGTGTGTGTGTATGTGTGTGCCAACACACTCACAGCATATTTGTGTTGGTTATGTTTGTATGTAGTAGCCGTGTGGTGCTGCCGTCCAGCTGCATTACTGCAGACTGGGTTTCACGGGCGAAGGGCTGTGACATAAACACAGGGAAGAGGCTGAATGGGTTTCTCACTTGGTGAATGGGTGGGCTGTGTTAACCCGATGCCTTGGCCTACGGGTCGTGATCCCTGGGGTTTCTGCTCATCAAGAATATAAAACAGCAAATTCACTAGGATAGAACAGTCAGTGTTACTGTTTGTTTATATGCATGTGTATGTGTCTGTGGAAGCTAAGGTTTGTTGATCAGGCTAACGTGCTTGTATTCATTGTATTATACTTCACTGTAGCACACTGTGTGCTTGCATGCTTGAATATGAGTGTATGGACACGTGTGGAGAGGATAAAGAAAAATTCCTTAGGCATTTATTTATGAGCAAATAGAATTAGGCTTTAGGAATTAGATTGAGAAAAATACCTCTTACATAACCTTAATTTATTACTCAGTAGTGAGTAGTTTTTCTATTTGCAGTTTATTTTATGTCTCAATTTGTTTCTTACTTAAAGCCTCACTTTTGGCTATAACCAGCTTAGTAAGCAAATGGTAATTAACACTAACTATTTTCTCTGTCTTATGTCTTTCAGTTTTAGGCCTGACGTCACCATGCTGCCTTACTTCCTGCTCTTCTTCCTCTCATCTGGTCTGGTGTTATCTTCTGACTGCCCAGCAGACTGTTCCTGCCAGGCCCAGGACTCGATATTCTGCATTCAACGACACTCCAACACTGTGCCCCGTGTCCCCACCACCACTCAAAATCTCTACATCTTCCAGAATGGCATTGACACTTTGTCCCAAGATGACTTCAAAGGCCTGGGGGAGTTGGAGATGCTAGACCTGAGCCAAAATGAGCTTACAGAGATTCCAGATGGTGTGTTTGAGATGCTGTCAAAGCTGAAGAACTTAGACCTGTCCTCTAACCACATTACCCACATTTCGAAAAACAGTTTTTCTGGGTTGGTCCAGCTGGAGAGGCTGTATCTTTATTCAAATCGTATTCAGAGCATCCATTCAGAAGCTTTTGGTGGTTTAGAGATGCTACTGGAACTCAAGCTCCAAGGGAACCAGCTCACCTCTCTGCCATCCCTTCATTTTCCCAGGCTACTGCTTATAGACCTCAGCCACAACAACATCCCAGCCCTGGGACCCTCAGACCTCCAGACCCCTAACCTGGAGGCGCTTAAGGTGGCCTCTCTGGGCCTTACCTCTGTGGATGAAGATCTCATAGCTTCCTTGCGGAACCTCCATGAGCTCGACATCTCTACAAACCAGTTAACTGAGGTTCCCCAGGCCCTAAAGCAGGACTCTCTTAAAGGACTGATCAAGCTCAGCCTGGCTGCCAACCCATTGGGAGAGCTCAGGGTAGAGGACTTTCAGAAACTGACTGGACTTCAAGAACTGGATCTTAGTTCACTCAATCTCCAGGGATTTCCCCAGAGTTTCTTCCAGACTTTCCCCAGGTTGACACTCCTTACAGCAGCTGAGAATCCATTTAACTGTTTGTGTCCATTAGCCTGGTTCCCTGTTTGGCTGAAAGAGAAAGAAGTAAATCTGGGTAGGCCTGAGGAAACCAGATGTCACTTCCCTCTAGTTAATGCTGGGAAGAAGCTTTCAGCTTTGGAGCACAAAGATTTTGGGTGTCCACCTACCACAACAGTGCCGATTGGCTCCCCAATTGGAAGTACTTCTGTTCCCCAAATGCCCACCACATCTCCAGAAACCACACATACCAATGCTATTTCTCCTCCTCCTCCACCCAGTGAGGAAACCATCCCCTCAAAAACCCCCTTCGTCCTTCTACCAGAACCTCCAGTCTCCCCTAGCTCCACCAGTGGGGAATTCGAGCCGAACATCTGCCCACCAAACATCTGCCTCAACGGGGGTACTTGTTATTTTGACCCACTGGCTGAACTTAGCTGTCTATGTCCCCCAGGAACCTCTGGCCTCTACTGTGAAAATGTGGATGAGGTCCCGGAGCCACCAAAACCTTCAGAAACAGAAGTTTCAGTAGTTGCCCCTGTGATGCCTGCTGAACTCGATGCTATCAGCTCACGGCAGGTGACATCCACATCCATCCTTCTTGACCTGCATCGCTTCATCGAGACAAGGCCGCACATCCGTGGAATTACGTTGACCTACCGCAACCTTTCAGGGCCTGACCGCCGTCCCATTATCCTACGTGTACCTGCAACCTACCCTGAGTACACTTTGCGTGGTCTGATACCCAACTGTACCTACTCAGTCTGTGCCAGTCCCTTGGGTGAAAGAAGCAACTCTAGGGCAAACAGCTCTGTAGAAACAGGTTCGTGTACAGAGGCTCGCACTGAAGGGGTGCCACTGACATCCTTAGAGCCCAGGGTGAAATCACAGAGCCCGCTGACATACACTCTCATCCCTGCTATGGCTGCCCTGGCACTTGTGCTGGGGTTGGCCGTGGTGGCTGGGACAATTATCTGTGTGCGGAAGAGAAGGCAGGCCAAGGCAGGGATGGAGCTGGAGCTTGGCCCAGCTGATCCTGATCCCATGGAACTGGAGGGGATAAAGGCCTGCCTGGAAAATGGGGGAAATGGTACACTTCCTCACAAACAGCCGGAGATTGACCGCTGTCACACTCCTCAGCCACCTCCATCTTTGCAGCAAAATGGGGTTTTGGACTATGAGGTACCTTTGATGCAAGGACACTGCCCATCAAATAACAATTTGGCATCCCTGAAACCATCATATTTCTAAGATGCAATAAAATACAAACACTTTGTAAGATTTTGCAGAGAGTGGGCTTGTCCATCCGGACATGTGAGGCCCCGCTATGGCTCAAGTAGTGTTTAAAAATCTAATTTCCATTCCAATTTCAGATATCCACAATTTGAAAAGTGGCACTTACTATCCTTTGCTGTCCAAATGATAACACTATAGACTGGATAATCTGTTTTACTGAATGATAAATTTAAGATTACAGCATATTGGAATTGTGCTAAACCACTGTGGGACAATGATCAGGATTTGGTTTTAAGTCATCTAGCAGAGTTTGATGATGATAAAACCTTACCAAGTGATGAAACTAAGTGCAATCGACTAGAAGGGTCTTAGTAGCAGACTGGAAGTGCCTTTTTGCAATGACACAACTGTAACCGATGGTTTATACAAATGAAACTATGTGAATGAGCTGTAATCCTGTTGCTGGATTTGGGGAGATACAGTATGGAGAAAAGTGCCCCAACACTGGGCTACAGAACTGGAGGAAGTGACAGTGGTTTGAATGAAAACCGTCATGCAGATGTGTGATGACTTGACCACACGTCACACCCAAAATGGGTTTTCGACCAACTCCAACTGCTTCATGGGGATTATGAAAAGAACTTGCACTGAAAAGAAATATTTATTTTCCTTTACAGTGTCCCAGTCATAAACTGCCACAAGACTGATGGTCGCATAAGGAAATGCAATAACAAAACTTTGAAAAAAATATTTTGCAAAGCTTAGTAATAGGTTGATGACCATAAAAGCTGTATAAAATGTATATTTTGCTGTTGATCTAATGATCTAATCTGAAACAAAACTTTAAGTTTCTTCAGATGCAGATTTGGATTCTTCAGTGTCAGCAGATCAACCATAATTCTCTCCACACATCCCAAAGCTTTTGGCTCTGTGGGAGATACATTTGCTGTGAAAGATAAATGGACTTAATGGAGAGCCATTGAGAATCGACCTGGCCTGCATTGTTCTGTGCTGTGATGGGAAGGCTGTTCTGTCTAGCTTATATAATGATATTCTGTTTTTGTCATGAGTTTTTGTATTTCTTTTTTTTTAGCTTTTTGCTGTTGCCTTCCATTCAGTATTGTTATTGCTGTGAGCTGAAACATTTTTAATTGTTTTCCCTCAAAAAAGCCGACTTAAGTCTTCATGGATTCTATAATTTTCTATCTGTATTTTAGGATACATGTAGCCAAAACTTTCCAGAGTATTTTGCAGTGAGTGCCGAAGTAATACTTGAGACCAGCACAATAACCAATAAACAGTAATCAAATGATATTTTAAATGTTTTAATAAAAAAAAATAATTAAAACTCCTTACCTTTACGTCATGTACAGAATATATTTGTATGAGGTTCACCAAAATATGTCTGAGGAACTCACCTAGTGAATGTAACTTTAAGGTGTCAGACACTTTATTGTCTATGCCAGGTCTGCCAACACTACATAAGGATAAGCCACAGACCGACAAAACTCTGAAAACTGTGTTCAAAGGCCTTTTGCCACAAAGCCCACTCCTATAAAGCAGCACACGCGTGCCGAGAAAAGAAAGTAAGTTCAAAGAGCTCGAAGGCAATTTGCTGTAAGCGTCAGGGAGTTTAGGCATTAGTTTCCTCTTGGCGCGGCTGACAGTAACGTTTCTGAGATATGGTCTAGAGTCTAGACATTGTACCCCTAGAGTTTTTTTCTCTCACATCCTCTCACTGGATCTCTGTGCCTCCACTCTAACCATCTAGTGTGTTTTGGTCAACAAGGATTATTGGCTTGTGTGTGTTTAGAGACTGTTTTGCTTGTTTTCAGCCAAGCAGACTGTGAAATGTACATGCTAAATGCACAATTCTGATGTATTTGTTCTCTTTTTCCTTTCCTGGGGCTGAGATTGTCACAAGCTTTTAGTGTTAGTTTTCCTGTGTTTTGTCTTTTTCTTTTATGAGAAAGAATCTTAAATTGCAAAGTATAAATAGGTTTACAGAGAAGTGCCTTAGCAACATTGGTGCACAGCCTTACTGACATCTTGTAGTTTCTTATTACATGCTGATGTGTATTTCAAGAACAAACAAGCCTTTATTTTGCCTCACAGGACATTGCATTATATTGCATTACACTCTGATGAAGAAACATGAATGAATGAAGAAACATGAAATGTAATGTAATCAAGTTAGTCTGATTAAGAAAAAAAAAAAAAAAAAGACCTTCCTCAGTTCTTGGTTATCTAACAGCCAAAAGCTTGGAAGACTGTGTTATCAGTTAGTTTGTTCAGGTGTGTGTGTGTGTGCTTGTTTTTTCTGCTTACACTTACTACAGTACGTTTGTCTGCTTTATAATTGAGTCCATGCTCGACACTCCATCCACTGTCCAAAATCAATGTATTATTCTTTGGCTTCACTACTTTCTTCCTTCTGTCAATATTCCAGTATAAACATAGACGCAGATGCTCATATATCTGCTCTCTCTCAATATATCAACTGGAAGACTCTCTGTATTGCTTTCGACAGTGAGAGGAGCAGGAAATGTTTGAAATATTTTCAACATGCTTGTTAAAGAACCATCCTTTTTTATTTAGGGAAACGTCTTGTTTTTCTTATAGGTTTGTGTTTGTGAATTACATTTTTGTTTATGTGTTTGCCAGAAAAGCAATGCTGAGAAAAAGAACAGTATTAAATTGAATTAATGTTAAAAATGCCTGTGATTTTGTGTCTCATCAAGAATGGTATTGGCTTTAAAAATAAAGTCACTTTTATATGGTTTTATATGGTGCAGTTATGTTCATGAGCTCAATAGTGAGGGCTTTAGAATTATTCTACCTTTTGGATTTGAGGAATTTAGGTCCATTTGAGGCTGTGAGTCAGTTCTGAATGTACAGGGATGTTGTCATAGAGAAACATTAAATACAAAAACTGAGAATGGTTTTCCATGAACAACAGAAGCTGATGACACACAGCATGTATCTCTCAATACCTCATTACACTCATGCCCACACTAACCTCAACCAAAACAGGATTTTTTGTATTTTCCACTTATAGTCAAAGACAGATACCAGTGGAAAATATTACAAAATAACGGTTTCAAAGTAACAGACATTACATGGCTTTGCTGCTTTTAGCTATTGGCTGTTTTCTTGATGATTCAGCATTTTTTACATACCCACAGTACATTGGAATAAAGAACTTACAATGAGGAATACAAAATACAACTTGTAAGCTTTATTGACATTTGGTAAATATTGGCTACCAAGTGAATATTTACATTATGAATTCAGATATAAACCAATGGACAGTCCTGGTTCAGTATCGATGGAAAACCAACAGACACAATTGTTACTTTACTGTTCAGGTAGGTCTGCTCTGACATAAAATAATGGAGCTGCAGTCCAGACTGAGCTTTACAAAAATATGTTTCTGATAGACCTGCCTTTGAAGAAAAATTTATTTAATGGGTGTCTTAATTTATCAAAGCAGGAAAAGCACGGGTGTATCTAATTACATTACTTATGGCTAAATGCTATTTAGGTGTCCCAGTAAGTCATGCCAGTGAGCCTGCGTGTATAAATGCCAGGGCTCGGGGAACAACACACCTGAATGGCATGCAGCCATTATGTCATTAATTACACCTGTGCTTTTCCTGATAAAGCTTCTGCTGTATAAATCCCAGTGTACTGAACCTTTTCTAGTCTGTTGAAGCAATCCCTGTGTCCTAATTGCATTTTTCCATGTTTGGAGAATATGGTATGTTCACAGTGGATGAAGGATACGTAAAACTGCACCAGTGTATAGTAAAACCACTTCATTTTGAGTGTGATATTGATTGACACTATTGTCTCATAATGTAAAGTACAATGGAAATTAAGGGACAATGTTACGAACACTGATATAGTTGGAAAAAACATTAATCACTGTCAGAGTAAATCTGAAAAGAAATTGTATTTGTAGGCTATATGATATTTAGATAGTTAAAAAAAGAGCAGCTTCTTCATCTCAGATAAACTGTTGGCTTCAATAAGACTAGTGCCTTCAGAAGACATGATTTAAACACTAAATTAAACTCAACTCTACTGAGGTCACTTTGCCAATTGAGCATACCCAGAAAGACGATATAGAAACACAAATACCTAATTATATATTCATAGAACAGATTATACCCTTTCAGTTCCTAATGAAAAAGAGATTAAAATTAAGGGGAGTCTCTTTAAAGGGCTGCACGACCAACAGCGGCAACTGCGGCTCAGAGGGCAGGTTTTTTTGGATTATTATTGTGAATTCCACTGCAAATTACTAGGGGGTAAACATATTTGTTTGGTTGTTTTTGTGTGTTTGCTAAAGCAAGAACCACTTTTGAAGGGTGTGGCCTCGGATGGCGTACTATAACTGGAAGTAAGGAATGGGAGAATTCTTTTTTAGGTTTCAGCAAAACAGTGGGTAGTGTACACAAAAGTCAATATAAACCCAATAAAATGTCATAATAGTACAGAGTGATATAAAAGGGAATAGTATTGGTTGACTGCTTGGATCAGTATCTTAGTGAAAGATATGAGTGAGACAGTCTTTCCCATGGATCACTACTGCCGAACCTTGAGGAAAAAACTGAATCAACACCTGCCACTAGTGGGACACTCAATTTGACATGTTGTAGAGTATATGAAGTAAAAGAAAGAATACTTATGAAATACAACAAAAGAAAGTGTAAAATTTCAGATTTTAAATTTAGAGGGGGGTTGATATGCTGTCCAGCACAAACAAAACTGTGAGAGTTAAAGTGAGCTGTAAACTGGATGGATGCAGAGTGCTAGTTTTAAATGAGATAAAAAACAATATTTCTATCATTAGCATTTGGCAAACAAACTATGTTGTGCCCCATTTACCAAGACTGAATCCTTGCTGCAGCGACCATGGGTTTGAATCAGACCTGTGGCCCTTTGATGCGTGTCCTCTCCTCTCTCCCTCCCCCTTTCCTGTCTATCTTCAGCTGTCCTATCCAATAAAGACACATGACACATAAAGAAATTGTTCTGAAATAAAATAAAATCTTCCCATCCCAGAACTATATAATGTAA